GACTATAAAACTTAGTTTTGTTCTTTAAAGAAAGGAAAGAGCTTGTAAGTTTGAAATTTCTGCCTAATCCATTAGATATAGACACCTTAAATTAAACCGCTAGGCATGATTAAGTTGTGAAGTTAGCCCTACTGCAGTTTAAGATTGTCTATTTGTGGATTAGGCAACAATTGCAAACATACAAACTCTTTCCTTTAAAGAAGCTTTTTCAACCAGGATGGCCGTGAACCACTAAAAAGGACAATAATCAACTATCTATCTATCTATCTATCTATCTATATATATATATATATATATATATATATATATATATATATATATATATATATATATATATATATATATATATATATATATATATATATGCGCATGCTCACTGCTTGCAGTTTGAGCACTCTGGCAATGGTTTGATGTCCCACATTCGTGAGACATCAAAGGTAACTATTTATAGTGGTTACTTTCATCCTGCTGTGTTATTGTTCACTCCGTAATATGATAAGTATTCCAGCTAGCTACATGATGTTTTCTTCAATATTTCGCATTTCATTATCTGACACTAAGGTTCATGCAGTGTTGGCCGCCCCAACCAGAACACACATATATAAAATTCAATATACTCGCCTAATTGCATTCGTTTGTCTGACCTTTAATCTTTATTAATTTTTTCATAAAAATATTTTTTGATTAATATTTTTTGCGTGTGCATGTTGATATTGCTTTTCCCGCTCTAAATACGATGCTGCAAATTGAGATCGAATTCCACTAGAGTTAAAAGCAATTAAAATATTAGTTCCAATGTGAATTTAAAACCATTATGATTTATAATTAATCATATGCGATTTGAAACTGCAATAGATCGATAACTGAACCCGCGATAAGGATTAAAGATGCCTGCCTTATTGCCATACTATGATTGATGTATACCGTATATAGCACTAGATAGCATCGGTTCCCTCCTGGATAGTGGTAATCAAAGAAACGTGATCTATTTAGACATGTCTAAAGCCTTCGATACAGTTAATCATGAGCTGCTGCTTTCCAAACTTAGCAAGCTTGGATTTGGAGGTGGCCTACTACAATGACTCCGGTCCTTTTTGTCTAATCGGCGACAGCGCGTTACCGCCCTCGGTGCTACATCTAACACCTTACCTGTAACCTCTGGGGTACCTCAAGCTCCATACTAGGTCCCATATTATTCCGCTTATATGTTCATGACTAGAGGTGTGCGAATCCGATCCGAATCCGATCCGAATCCGATCCGATCGGATTCGGATCGGATTCGGACAGTAAATTACTCGGATCGGATCGGATTTCGTTTTGTTTCTGTCGGATCGGATCGGATTTTGCAGGTTTTTTGTCGGATCGGTTCGGATTTGATTTTTCTTGTATCACGTCGAATTATTCGAATATTTTTACAAATTGAGAAAGTTCTATATTCTGCAGCTGTATTCCACATTTTACGTTACAAATGGCATCAGAATTCACAATGGCTTTGAGCATAAAAGTAATTCCATAATCCATATAGTCCATACAAACTACAAACTACAAAGTCAAAGTAACGTTTTGCTCGCTCGCGAAATCGCGATTCGCGAATAACGAATGCCATTATGCCACCCAATCTCCCCTCGGGCCTCGGCTATTCAAAAACAGCACATGAAGCCTGACAATGAGGTTTATTAGTGATAAACTTTAAGATGTTTTAAAATGTAAACCTAGCTCAAGCTCATGATTTATTATACTGATTAAAACATTTTTGACTAGTTGGGTTTTTTTCTATGCTAATTCTAATAAAATATAAACTGCTGTTACTGTGTACTGTAAATGTGAACGCTATAAGGCATAATTATGTGATATCGCCCTGCAATTTTTATCGGATTCGTATCTGCTTATTTTTGCTAGAAATTCATTATTTCCAATATATCGTTTATGATCATGAAAAAATACGTTCATAATAATTAACGCACGCTGTACAGCGTACACAACTTAAGTTCGGATCGGATCGGATTACGAATTTTAGCATCGGATCGGATCGGATTTTATAAACATTGTTTCGGATCGGATCGGATTACTTTTTTCATCTTCGGATCGGATCGGATTCGGATTGAGAACTTAGACAAACCATCGGATTGAGAGAGGTCAATCCGATCCGACGCACACCTCTATTCATGACCTACCCGGTCTCGTCAAATCCAGTCAAATCGCTATGTTCGCAGATGATACGAAAATATTTAAGCCTATCGCATCAATAAACGATACGAAATTACTCCAACAGGACTTATCCAACTTAGAATCCTGGTCTTCGACTTCCAGTCTCCCCTTCAATCAAAGTACATGTCGGTCGCTGTCTATCGTTCGTAAAACGAAGGCAGTGGTGACTACATACAAGATGAAGGGTGAAACTCTAGAAATACAAAATCGGAACGAGATCTTGGCGTCTGGATGTGAACTGATCTCACCTGAAATAATCAAGTAGTAGAACAATCTTCCCGTGCTAACAAGTTGCTAGGTTATATCAGACGGAACGCACGGTTCATTCAAAACACCAGCGTGAGGAGGGCATCGTATTTAACATTTAACATTAGAAATATAAACTGGTTTGTTCGTTCTTTTAATAATATCAACCCATAGTATACAATGTAATGTTTCTTTTCTCTCTGTCCTTTCCCGCTCTTTTTAACTATCCCCCATCGCTCCTGCTACAATATATACATATACATCATCCCCTATCACAAATAGATAAAATGAATACTGTTCGTAAACATTCGTGTTTACTTGTAAACTGGAATGGTCGTCCGTTTCCGTTGACTTAGTCTAGGCAGTGGTGCTGTATCTCTCTTTTCCAGGTAGTAGCTCTCGTCGTCGTCATCGTGCTCAATTACTTCTGGCCATTGGATGTCGGCGTACTGCATGCACTCCTGTTTCTCTTCGCGGTTGTCCGGTGGCGACACAGGGTGCGACCGCTTCCTTCTTGTTGTACCGTGACTATGTTTCCCTCCCTGTTCATATCAATGATCTTGAACGCTTCCTGGAGGAAGAGAGTGTCAAACTTTCTTGATTTATTGTAGTGTCTGATCAGGACATTGTCGCCGATTATGAAATGAGATTTCTTCCGGTACTTGGAGCCATTTACTTTACTTTCGTTTTCCATTTTCTTCTTCTGGTCTGCTTCTCGTGCCCTGCTCATCCTTCGTCTGTTGCGTGTCTTCTAGGAAAGTCCAGGCGTTGTCCATGGCGGAAAATCATAGCTGCCGGTGGAAGATTGGTTGCCGGGTGAGGTGTCTGTCTATAGTTTTTCAAGACATTTTTTAGGCTTTCTTTTTCGGGAATACCACTGTGACGCCCAGTTTTCATAGCCTTGCCCAAGGGCCGCATAAAGGTTTCGACTGGGTTCGAGGAAGGGTGTAGTGGTGGCGATTTCTGTAACTTGATGTCTTTGGTCTTGGCGAAGTTTTGCATCTGAATGCTGTTGAATGGTGGACCATTGTCTGAGATCTGTTCATCTGGGTTGCCGTATGTTTCGTAAATTTCTGTCAAGGCTGGTATGACTTTGTCTGCCTTTGTTGATGTGACTAACTTTGCTGCAGGGTATCTTGACGCTAGGTCTTGTACTACCACCACATGTTTAGATGATGGCATTGGTCCGAATAAATCCACTGCAACTGTTTCCCAACACTTCTCTGGTAATCGGTGTGGTTTGATTGGCTCCTTCGTCTTCTTATCCACAAATACATTGCAGTCACTGCATGACTTTACAAACTCTTCCACCTTCTTATCCATGCCGTGGAAGAAGAAATGATATCTAAGCCGTCGCTTCAACCCCTCCTGTCCGGGATGGGCTTCCTTGTGTGAAATCTGGATAGCTTATATTTGGAGCTTAGTCGGAAGGATGATCCTTTCATCTTTGAAGATTATGCCATTTCCTGCAACTGTGAGTTGTGGAAGGATGGGTCGAAAACGTTGAACTTCGGCAGGTTCTGTCTTTGGGATCCAAGTCTGTCCCTTCTTGATGAGCGCCGCTATCTTTTGCAGAGTCTGGTCTTCACTTGTGGCTTGTGCAATAGCACCAATACCCACGCAGTCGATGGCTGGTGTTGTATGAAGTAGGAACAGGAGATTATTGAGGTCATCCGCTTCAGTTTGTTCCTCCCGAGGTAGTTTCTAGATTGGTTTCGCGTGTCGGGATAGGTAGTCGGATTGGTTAACTTTCCCACACTGGTAGATTACCGTAAATCTGATGTCTTGATGGCGGAGCTTTATTCTTTCTGTACAAATCGAGCCTTTACGGTTGCCGTTGAAGATAGAGCATAATGGTTATGATCAGTTATAACCTGGATATCGGTTGGGGAACCAAGAATATAGTTGCGAAATCGTCGTAGAGCAAAATCAATACCAAGGGCCTCAAGGTCGATTTGTGGATACCTCTGCTCGGCCTTGTTTGTTGTTCTAGAAGCTATGGCAATTGGTCTTGCGCTCTCTGGTGTATCTCCTTGTGCCAGCATGGCCCCAAGTCCAGTAGTTTGTGCATCGGTGAAAATGAAAGTTGGCTTGCTCATGTCGAAATACTCGAGTAGGGTATTTACTGTGAATCGTTCGATTAATGCTTCGTAAGCGGCATGGTGTTCTTTCGTCCATGTGAATCGACTATTTTTCTTGGTCAGTTCTCTCAGTTTGGCCGTGTGTTGTACGAAGTTTGGAATGAAATCGGCATTGGACTGCATCATACAGAGAAAACTGATCAATTCTTCCTTTGATCGAGGCGGTGTGATGTGCTTTAGTGCTTCCACTTTGGCGGGATCTGGTCGTACTCCTGCGGAACCAATACGCAAACCCCAGAATTCGATCTCAGTGGCTCCGAAAGTGCACTTGCTTGGATTAAGGGTTATACCAGCGTTAGTGATGGCTTGCATGACGGCAGTAATCGCGGAATGGTGTTCTGCATCGGTTTCTGTTGCAACAATAAGGTCATCATGGATGAGGTGTGCTTGTGGAACATGTGCGAAAAGCGGTTGAAGAGCCATGTTAAGTTCTCCTTGTGCTGGCTTTACGCCCATGGTGAGTCGCTTATATCGGTATAGTTTATCGTTTGCGTGGAACACCGTAAGGTACCGGGAATCTGGGTGGAGTTCAAGTTGCCAAAATGCCGATT